AGGCAAACTCTATATGAGGGAGGCCTTCATCCCAAGTTTTCTTGTTCCCTTTTAGAATGACATTTAACAATATGGATAGGGATCTATTCACTACTTCAGTTTGGCCATCAGTTTGTGGATGGCAAGTAGTAGAATAGACAAGCTTTGTTTCTAATTTTTCTCAAAGAATTTTCCAAAAATGACTAAGGAACTTAACATCCCTATCAAACACAATAGTCTTGGGTAAACCATGCAAATGAACCACCTCTTTGAAGAAAAGTTTAGCAATATAGCTAGCATCATCCACTTTGTGCCATGGAATAAAATGAGCCATTTTGCTAAAATGATCCACAACCACAAAATTTAGATTTTAAAAGACTTAGGGTTTTATCAACCCCAAAATGGCCAATGAGACCTCTCTCATGATTTTTCTTAATCAAAATCTTTCGAATGGATCCTTGGGGTATACAAAGTCTTCCCATTTTAAAAAGGTACCCCTCAAGAAGATAGAACCCATCAAAAGGCTTATAGAGGCATTTGTTGAGTCAGCAAAGCAATTCCCAGCAAGGTTTTGAATGAGACAAATATAATACATGTTGTTATTTCTAACAAGCGTGTTAGTGTTTCAGAAAAGCATAAATACAGACAAGCTAAAGAATAAAGAATATGCATGTGCCACTTCCTACACCAGAACCAAGATAAAGGAAGGCAGACAGAAGGCCAAAACAAGACAAAAATGGGTTAAACATCAGATGAAGTCCATATAAACATCAGATGAAGCTAAATGGTCAATCAGACAAAGATGAGTCAAGGCAAGTCTCAGCATAAGGATCACATGAAGAAGTAAACAAAGTTGAATGGTAGAAAGAATATGAGATGTGCACCAGACGACTATGAGTCTAACATCAGACGAAGGTTGGTCAAAGATCATAAGAAAGTCAACTATGCATCAGACGAAGGACAACACAGAACGAAAAGTATTCTAGATGGAAACAATGTCTATCCATCTCCAATGTTGACCAGACCAAAAGGAAGTCAAAGCATCAATATCAAATGCTCAGACGAAGATCACAAATTGAGATACATAGGACTAACAAACGCAGACGAAGACTGCCATGTAAGCACTTAAAGAATCAAGTCTCAAAGGACTACTCAGGCATCTTGTACAAACATACAAGAGCTCTCAACATGATCGCGTGATTAAAGGAAGAGAAGAAGAAGAAGAAGAAAAGCACGCAAAAGCAAAGGCATGCATGTGTCAGAAAAAATACATTACTTTTTCAAATAAGGACAACGCTTTATAGCTATGCGACCGGAAAAGGACAAAAAGGTTCCTAGGTCTTAACTAAGGTCAGACACAGTAGCTAACAAATGAAGAAGACTTCACGGAATGTCTATAAAAAGGAAGCAACATTTAATGCAAGATCTAGAGCATTAAATGAAAGATCAAACTAGTCATGAACGACTACATTTGCTTCAATGGACATTTGCAACAGGAAAATTTTACAAGACTATATATATATCACGACTTCAAACCTTGAAAGGTTGGATTTGGCATTGACAAAGAGTGATATCCAGCCCATGAAACAATGAAACTAGAGACAGAGCTTATAGAGTCAAATGTACCATAATGTATTTATCTCTGTAGACTAAGGAGTTCTAAGTGTAACTTAGGAACTGGATCCTTAGTGAGTGTAGTCATCTTTGTATCCTCTCTGTAAGAGTAAACCACACACTCAATCTTTGTAAAACTAAGGTTTCATACCTTAGTGAGTGTAGAAATTATTGTATACTCTTTGTGAGAGTAAGCCAAACACTCAAACCAGACCATATATTCATCATTTGTAAAGCCTGAAGAGGCTGGGGAAAGAATACTTGTAAAAGCTTGGAGAGGCTTATCAAAGAATACTTACTGCAAGCCAGAAGTGGCTAATTAAAGAATACTAGCACGATGAGTGAAGTTGACGAACTAGGAGAGGATAAGAATACTCGGGACCAGGAGTTGTTGTGACTTAGGTTGTCTAGAATACTCATTACAAGCCTGAAGAGGCTGATTAAAGAATAATAGCATTGACTAGTGAAGTTGACGAACCAGGAGTGGTTGAGAATACTCGGGACCAGGAGTGGTTGTGACCTAGGTGGTCTAGAATACTCACTGCGAGCCTGAAGAGGTTGATTAAAGAATACTAGCGTCGACGAGTGAAGTTGACGAACCAGGAGTGGTTGAGAATACTCGGGACCAGGAGTGGTTGTGACCTAGGTGGTCTAGAATACTCACTGCGAGCCTGAAGAGACTGAACAAATAATACTTGTACTTCATTGAAAATCTAGTGGAACCCTTTAATTGAAGGAGACTAGACGTAGCTCAATTTGAGCGAACTAGTATAAAAATACTTGCACTATTTTTCAATGTTTCAGATGCACTTTTATTTAACTGATTTAATATACTGAAAACTTTGTGCAATGCTTATCGTCCATTACAACTATCTTCATATGAAAACCACACTTGTTCAATTTATAATCTTAAAGAACGATTTTCGTTTAAGAATCATTTTCCCTGTGCAGACGATAAACTCTCAAATGCAAAAATCTTTTGTTAAACCAATCCTGCACAGTTACTGCTAAGCATTCAAAATAATATTTTTACTGGGCGAAGAATGAGTCCCTTGCGAAAACATTTTAAAATTCCTTTGTTCACACCACACACATATTCAACCCCTCCTTCTATGTGTATTTCCGCTAACTTCAACATTTGGTGAAGGTGGATTGGAAATCTTTATCACCCTCATACAACTCCATTATATTATCAAATCCAAGAATTTGAGACCCCAAGGAAAATAGTAATGAGTGTCTTCTAGATAAAGCATTCGCCACCACATTATTATTTCCCTTCTTATATTTGATAATGTAAGGGAATTTCTCAAGATATTCAACCAACTTGGCATGTCTCTTATTTAGCTCCCTTGCCCTCTAATGTATTTAAGTGACTCATGATCAGTATGTATGATAAACTCCCTAGTCACTAAGTAATGCTCCCAAACTTGGAGGGCTCTAATAGGGGCATAAAGCTCCTTGTCATAGGTGGGATAATTCAAGGTGGCCCCATGGAGTTTTTCACTAAAGTAAGCAATTGGGTGGCCTCCTTGAAGTAACACGGCACCTATGCCAAAATCGGATACATCACATTCTAGCTCAAAGATTTGAGCCAAGTTTGGTTGAGCTAGAATGGGTGCATTGGTGAGCTTTTCCTTAAGGCCATTGAAAGCTTTTTCTTGGGCTTCACCCCAAATGAAAGGAACATCTTGTGTTCATTGATTACTCTTGCTAACCCTTTATCAGTTGCAGATACTACTTCACTTACTTACAAACATGCGAGTTTTTAATATACACTATGAAACCCTCCTTCTAGTGTCTATCTTTTCTCAACAATTATGAATGTTGGAGCTTGTTTTTGAAGACTTGTGTTATGTCTTAGTTATGTATTGCATATGGTGTAATTTGTTAAATTTGAAGTTATGACTTAGTTATGGATGTTAATTTTATGTTAATTTGTGTTGTGAATTCTTTTATAGATTATTTCAGGTATGGTTTGGTTTTGTTTCAATGCACAAATTATAGTAATGGAAGCACAAATTTTAAAGGTTCTCAATTGTTTATATTTTTAAATATAGATCGACTCATACAGGTCAATTGGTAACTTAATGGTTCAACCTCTAATCCATTGGCATAGTATCCTAACTGAGTTGTGTATCAAGACAAGTATGATAACATTGGTTATAAAAATGTCTTGTTTTGTCTATATTTAATTTAGAAATTATAGACAATATACTTTTTATGAAACAAGTGTTTGGATTAATTTCTTTATGATTATAAGTATATAATTTTAAATTCTATAACAAGCACAACTTGTTTAGAACATAAATTTTATTAAAAGTTTTTTGTATCTACATAATTATACAATTATTTAATTTTCATTTTATATATTATATTCAAATTGTATTTTAAATAATTTTAATTACAATAATATCTCGTGCATTGCATGAGCCCTCTTTCTAGTTAGAATATATGAAATATTTGAAAAGGAAATATCTACCAATGGGAGAGAGTGTGAGAGGTGTGTCGCATATGTGAGGGAGAGAGATGGAGAATTGAGTTTCAAAAATTGGTTAAAAATTGTTATATTCAAAAAGTGTCATAGTTTAATTGAGAAAACATATTAACATGTTAGTGAAATTTCTATTTCTTGCACATAAAAGAAGAATTCTTTGTCCTATATGTTTGTGTTAAATGTAAAATTATAGTTTGGTCATTTAGATGGTGTTCTTGTTTTGCTCCTACATAATCCTATTTCAAAAAAAATGTGTACTTGACATTGACAAAAATATCAATTTTTTTTAAAGATTCTCCTAATTCTAAACATTATTAATTAACATTAATCACATTTAGTTAGTAAACAAAATGAAGTTGTCCACCTACAAAAGTCAAAACCCTAAACCTAAATTCAAAAAAAAAATAGTGGAAGTTTATTTACACTATCAATTACGAATACGAGCAAAGAATAATTTGATTAATTAAATTGTAGGGTTATTAATAAGGTTTCCATTCTTCTAGTAATTCTTCAAACATATAATTAATCCTACTTTATATTTATTCCACTGGTTTAAGGATACAAATAATATGTTTATATTTAAGGATGTAATTAATAAGTGTATGTTTATTTCATATGTTTGAAAATATAAATAATAAGTTTAAGTTATTTGTAAACTATTTGAATTGAAGTTGATATATGCTTGTAATTGGGATTTGAAAGCCATCTATGCAAGTATGCACTCTACAACACAACTTAGCGTGATCAATTAAGCCAACATCTTTTTTAAGTTGGTTTATAACCATCAAAATACCCAAAATAATTCAACCTTTTGAAATATTCGGCCATAAATACAACAACAAAAAAATATAAGCATCACAAATGTTGAAATGAATATTGATATAATTAATTAATAATATCATGAAGTGAAATCTCTCAAAATTTGATACCAATAAAGAAAATGGTAAATTGGCAATTACCAATTAATACTATCCTTGACAAGAAGAAATTTAATAACAAAAAATTTCAGATCTAGTGAATGCCTAAATGAGGGAAAGACATCACTTTCTGTGTAATTATATTTAAAAGGAAAACATTATTCCAGATACTACTAAATAATCATAGAGCTTGAACAAAATTCTTAATAGCTCATTGAGAATAATTATTCCATCATATATTTAGGCAAAATTCCTTGGAGCTTGTTAAACTGAGGCCATGTGTCGAATCAAATCAACCACACGAGTGCTGCAAACAAGAAAGAAATATTCAAAGTAATGCATAATAAACTAACTCCAACAAAAAAAAAGGTCACTTAGTTCCATGCAAATATAAGATAGTTCAAATAAAATATGCAAGTATAACAAAGTTAGTAAGATCTTTAGAGAATTAGTTATTATCTAGTATCTACAAATTTTGTTGTTGTTCCATCAAAAGTTAAAGTTATTTTTACATATCTTATTATAGCTAGTAGTAAAAAAGAAAAAGAAACTAATAACAACTTGTAAAATTAAAATGAAAAGGCATAGATTTTTTACCTGTATCCCCACTCATTGTCATACCAAGAGACAAGTTTCACAAAGTTATTGTTAAGTGAAATTCCAGCCTTTGCATCAAAAATGCTTGACCTGCCAACACATGATGGATCATATTTTATAAGCTTCACTACACTAAAGCCTTATTGATGAAAAATGACATGATATTAAATGATATTAAAAACTCCCAAGCATTAGTACCATAATCTAGCGTAGCAATAGACATTGTAAATCTTAATTGTTAAATCCCTTTTCCTAAGCTAAAATCAAATAATTGACCATCTTAGATGCATTATTCATTATGAAAGGCATAAAAATTTAGTAAATATAGGCATAATCACCTGCTGTCACCCACAAAATCAGTAGACACAACATCATCCTCTGTGTAACCAAGAATTCCTTTCATACTTCCCTCAGCTGCTTCCCTGTGAAAAAATGAGAACATGAGATTGAGGACTTAAACTATATCCATTACACACTCACAAAAAAATTTCTTATTCTCACTTGACAGCAGCTTTAATCTCATCATAACTAGCTCCTTTCTCAATTCTAACAGTGAGGTCAACCACTGAAACATCTACAGTTGGGACTCTAAAAGACATTCCTGTCAACTTGTTATTAAGGGATGGTAGCACCTTACCAACAGCCTGACAATTCAAAACATAATAGGAACACAATTATTTGCTAGAAGAAATTGTGTGGAAGAAAAAAAAACTTACAAAAAAATCTAAAGATAATAGAAGCTGGAAAACAAAGAACATAATTTAGTGAATGTTACAAATATAATGGTCATATAACATAACTTGCATTCATGTGTTTGATTTTTATACCTAGTTATTTTTTCCAATGTCAATTATTCATTAAACTAACTAAAACTTGAAATTACATTATCCCTTAAATAAAATAAAACATGAAATCACATTAATAATGATAGAAAGCGACGTGTTTGTTCACATATGCAAGATACCTTAGCAGCTCCAGTGCTACTGGGAATGATGTTCACAGAAGCAGCTCTACCACCTCTCCAGTCCTTCATTGATGGTCCATCAACAGTTTTTTGAGTAGCTATGTAACATAGATAGATAGACATGACAATTAAAAGTGATTCATGTGAAACTAAAAGGAATGCAAAATATTACACACATACCAGTAATAGAGTGAACAGTGCTCATAAGGCCCTCAACAATACCAAATTTGTCATGGATAACCTGAATATTTTTCAATAAGGTCACTTAATTAATAATTTGTTTTTTTTGTATAATAAAAAATTGAAAATCTTTATTTTCAACTTTAAGCAAATATTAGATAAACTACCTTTGCAAGTGGAGCAAGACAATTAGTTGTGCAGCTTGCATTAGAAACGACGGTAATATCAGACTTATATTCATTTTCATTGACACCAACAACAAACATTGGTGCATCTTTACTTGGGGCAGAAATAATAACTTTCTTTGCACCACCCTAATAGCATAGGACATGTCCCAAAAAGAATTAGTTAATACAATGTTTTAACTTTCAAGACATTAAGATTTAAAACTCCTCTAAAATTTGCTAAAACATTGGTTATTGCATTATTCTTGGACACCACTCTTGAAATAAATATTTTTTTCCTCGAAGAAACAAAAGCACTCAAAGGAAAACATAGAAAAAATATGCAAGATGAACCATTTCCATCATTAATATTTGAATTATGAAATGATGTTAGATTTAATACAAAGTTTGCTGAGATATTATTCAAAAAACTTTACCCTTCAATCTTATACTAGACACTCAAAAGTCAAAATATAGTGGCAATCACATAAATAAATGATTCACAACATTATGTAATGTGAAACCCAAATGGCAAACCTTCAAGTGTGCAGCTGCCTTGTCTTTATCAGTGAAAACTCCAGTGGACTCAACAACAAAATCAGCTCCAGCCTCACCCCATGGAATTTCCTCAGGGTTCCTAATAAAATAATGAAACAATTTTATACTCAAAAAATGTTTCATTGTATTCATGCACAACCAATTTACTTAATATGAGTATATAAAGATAAAACTTACCTAATACCAAAAACAGCAACCGAGCTATCACCAAAAAGAAGGGTTTTACTATCCTTTAACTTGATCTCACAGTTTTTGAATTGACCATGAACGGTGTCATACTTGAACATGTAAGTCTGCATAAAACAATTTGAAATTACTAAGGGACAAAACTCATTAATGTTTGATTCAAGTAATGAACACAAATCAAATTTGAAACACATGAATATCCTACATTACAATTTGCAAATCCAGCACAATAATAGTCATTTGGACAAATTGATATTCTCATATATTCACCCATATACTTTTTCTTCAATACATGTATGAAACAAAATTATATATATATATATATATATATATATATATATATATCTTTAGTCTTGTGATCACATTGTATTTTCTTTTATACTTACCAAAGGTTAAAAGTTATCAAATTAGCATTATTAGATTTCATCTTAAAGCTAATTAGTATATTAAGAAAAGTTGTCCAACATGTTAGCTAAACCTCACCCTTTTAATTAAGATAGATAATGTGAGATTTTTCAACAAAAATAATGCAATTAAATATCATATTAGAAAAATTCGTGCATTTTAAACTACTACAATGCATGCAAGATTGAACATCATCTTCAAACTCACATGAGCTAGAAATAAAATAATTTAAATACATGATTTATTTACCATGTAATCAGTTGTGATGAAAGGATCATTAACAGCAACAAGTTCCACGTCATCTCTCTGCAATGCCACCCTGGCAACCAAACGACCAATCCTTCCAAATCCTTCATCATTACAAGCATGTGCACACACATTTTACATGTCATTATTATCATGGTACACACAAAAAATATCAATAAATTTTTCTTTGGTGTTTTACGTTGTCAATTGATAAAGTAGACACTCCCTTTTATTAATGGTTAGACAACTTAGATGGAACACAATTATCTAAAAATTCCAAAAAAAACAATGAAAAAATAAGTAAGAAAACGACATTGATCATTGGAGTACCATTGATGCCAATCTTGATCTTCTGACTCATTATCTCTCTCTAGATTTTAGCTGACACAAACAAATATGAGAGTAACAGAACTCAACGAATGCAAGAGTAGAGAAGATCAAAGTGAGATGACAATTTCAAAACAAAGTGTAGAGTTAGATATATACTATAATTGTGGTTGTTAGATCACATGAGTTAGGCGAAATAGGTGTGAATTGTGTGTTCCATACACCACAAACACCCGTTATTTTCGAGAGAAACTTTCAACGACTTACACAACCAAATTAAAACCGTTTTTAGCTAGAATCGGTAAAAGTCAATTTTATTAAAAGATTAAAAGCTAAAACTGGGGAAAAAAAGCATAAAGGTTAAAAGCAAAAATTCATCTTTTAAAAATATGATATAATATATAATATTTGCAAATTAAGAAAATATACTAATTCATATTAAGATTTAATATTAAATCTTAATGAATTTCAAACAAGCAAGAGATTTAGTTCAATTGATTGAAGGTGTGCAAGTTATTATAAAAATCTATTTATATATTATGTTTGTGTTTTAAATATTATGTAAATTTAATGTTCAAAAATGATTGTCTAAAATTTAATTTTCAAATATAATATCTTTGTTCCTATATATGAGAAATAAATGAGAGTCTTGTTTTGTTCCTAATTATAAGAAACATAGTTTACTTTTAAATGTACTAATTGATCATTTCCTTCTACACCCTTAATTTATTACGAGTCTATTAATGTGTCAACTACTCATTTTTTTTTTGGGAAAGTGAATGCATTTATTAGGCAACTAACACTATAATTTGTGTTCATTGGTTAAAAAAATTACTCCTAAACTTTTAGAAGTTTTATTAAATATTATTACTACCAATTACACTAAATAACTCTATGGCTATTTTTGAAAATTTTTAAATTATGACATTATTAATTACAACCAAAACTAATTTCAATACTTTCATTGGTCTTTATGAATTAGGTATTTATTTTTTATATATAGTTATAGATGTAGTATGAAATGATTAGGACTTATTATTTTTACTTAACTTTGAAAAAAAAAATGTTCCTTTAATAAAAAAAACATAGATATTTTTGTACTACTCAACAAAACACTACATTTACTATAATACAACTATTAGGCAATGAAAAACATAATATCATCTAACCTAGGATTCTCAATTAAGCGAGACCTGGATATCTCTGTGTGTCTATTAGGCAATGAAAAACATAATATCATCTAACCTAGGATTCTCAATTAAGCGAGACCTGTGTGTGTGTGTGTGTGTGTGTGTGTGTGTGTGTGTGTGTGTGTGTGTGTGTGTGAAGACGGTTATAATAACACTGGTATAACTTTTACTAAATATTACATCGCTCAATAATACTATATTAAATGTGAATTTTGTAAATCCAACCGTTAGATTGCAAGTTCTTTACTCTTAGATCATATGTACAAAATTTTATATTAATCCAAGATGATTTGATACTTCATTCTTATAAAACAAAATTAACGTAATATATTCATTTCAAAATATGTTAAAATATGAATGTTTTGATTACCTTCAAGTTGTTGTTCAATTTTAACAAAATTTGATATACACATATAAAGTGATATGAACTTTCAATCCAACGGTTGGATTTATAAAATTCACATTTAATATTAAGTTATTAAGTGGTGTAATACTTAGTAAAAGTTATACCAGTGTAATTATAACTCCCCTCTATATATATATTATATATCTGTGTGTGTGTGTGTGTGTGTGTGTGTGTGTGTGTGTGTGTGTATGTGTGTGTGTGTGTAGGAATAGGAAACTTAAAACAATCCTTGGTTATAACATCTAAAAACATAAAGTTCTTAGTGGACCTACCACACAATCCTATACATATTCTTACAAGTTCCTCAATTAAAAAGCAATAAAATCTTAAGTTCGTTGTCAAGAAACAAATAGTTGTATTAGAACAACCTCCACAAAACAATAAAATCTCCAGCATGGCCACAACATTGCACTCGCCCTCTGATCTAAACCTAACCTGCTCCAATAATAATGTGATCATCTAGTCCAACAACATAAAAAAATAAGGGAAAACTTGTTGGCAAAGAAAACAACATATAATATAGAAGTCATCAATTATTTTTATAAACAACTTCACAACATTCAATACAACAACAACAACAACAATTTACTCAACTTAACAAGACAACAACACAGATAATCATTCATAAGATTTAACAACTTATGAACTCAACGACAAAGCAATATTTCAATATAACATCTTGCTACACGACAACATATTATACAACTCAACAACATATTAGCACAACTTAAAAACACAACAATGTTTAACACAATATCTATATGCAGTCACACATTTCAAACAAGAGATCTCTTACAAGGCAAGAGTGTAGTATAAGTAGCTTGACCTTATCAAATCAACAACACACACCTTTAGATTAGACCTTTCATCTCTAGGTCATACAACACAACATTTGGATATCAATCCATTTTCAACACAACAATGATTTCTCGAATTTCATTGCTTAGACTAGGAAAGTTTAGTATCACTACTAAGAATATAACAACGTAGGTATAGGCTTACCATGATATTAGTATGCATCAACTAAACCTATATGGAATTAACTCACTGACTACTTTCCAAATACTATGCACATTTCAATAATTAGTTATGATTTTTACCCTTCGACTTCATACCTTACTTAATTCGGTCATCTCAACATAGTATATACAACACTTAGAAGATTATCCAATTCAATAATATTAACTCATCATGCTTTATATTAATATACTACACTATGATCTTTTATCATAAACAACATAAACACTTCACAACTCCACAATTATAGAACTAAAAACATCTCATACAAAGTAAAAGCTCAAAATATAAATGAGACACAAAATAGAGTCCTTGTTAGGCATGCGTAGTCTCACTAGGCAAGTTGATCTACATCTCACTAGGTAAGAATAAGGTTTTCACCCATAGGAAACTAACTTCTCACTTCAAAGGTCAGCCATCATTGTTTACAATCTCAACTTGAAACTTGTAACTCTTCATCTACTCATATGATACCACATGCAACCATTTAGAAACTTAAGAGTCCAATTCTTCCTCAAAAAACATCATTAACCACAAAGAAACTAAAAACACCAAGGTTATCAACCTCAATGCAACACCACAAAAACCAATGGGCTAATCAACCCAGTGATCAACACATACAACACAAAAGGGATTAATTTTCAAGCTTCCTTACCTCAATTACTCTAGAATCAAAGAAAGAAAGGAAGAACAACGAAGAATGAAACCCTTTAAGAACTTGTCATACGACAACTTCAACCACTGACTTTCAACTCCTCAACTTCAACTCTCAACCAAGCTAACACATTATTACTTTAGAGGAAGGATTAATTGGGATGCTCCTATGAAGTCAAAAGAAGGAAATAACTCATTTGGATCTAGAGCTCATTCATAAAACCTCTCTCTAAAACTTGGAGAAATAAATTATGAAGTTCAAATTCTTTGAAAATTTTATATATATTTCTCTATTTTTGGTCAACTTTGACCTCAATAAAAAATAACTTTAAACAACTAAATTCTTAAGAATTTCATAAGTCTTAGGATTCTAAAAACACCAGAAACATTGTATCAACATGTCAACACAAGATATCATATAACATGCAATATATCTATCTATCTATCTATCTATATATATATATATAAAGGATAGGATTCACATTATAGTGTTACAATTTTTATTCTTTTTTCCATTGGGGCAAGACTCATTATTAAGTACAAATGTTATTAATGTTGTTGTTGTTGTGTTGAATATAATATTAAGAGCTTACGTGTTAGAAAGAGTTGATTGAGCGTGAATTTGGTTCAAAAATATAAATTACATTGTACATGAAGACGTATTATAAAAAATATGATATACAAAAAGGTGTTTAAAAATACATAAATTATATTAACATTTTTTAAATGTATTAAATTTTCTTTTTTAAAATTTTTTAAACTGTGTTATTTAAATATCCTTCCTTTTTGTATATAATGTTGATAAAAAAAAAGTTGTAACATTTCTAAAATCGTATAGTATTAAATTTTTTTATCAAATATAATATATTTTTTATATTAATTAATCTTGTGCAATGCATGACTTAATTAAATTGTAAGCTATTATAAGATTTCCACTTTAGCAATTCTTCAAACAAATAATTAATTGTACTTTATATTTATTTCATAGGTTTAAGAATTTAATAACAAGTTTAAGTTATTTGTAAACTAGTTGAATTGAAGTTGATATTTGCTCATAATTGGGACTTGAGAGACAATGTTGTTATTTATTAGCTTGTTTTCAAGCTTCAAAATATGTAAACTAATTTAACCTTTAAAATATTTGACCACAATTATAACCCAATTAAAAGTATATGTATTTCATCTATTAAAAGCAATATTGATTTCATTCATAAAATCATTGAGTAAAATCTCTCAAAATTTGATGTTAAAAAATAAAATGGTAAATTCATAATTATCACTTAATAATATCCTTGACAAAAGGAAATCTAGTAATAAAATTGGCCAGATATATTGGATGTCCCAAGTGAGGGAAAGTATAATAACTATTTAGTAAGTTAGACGAATTCAAAATTACCAAGAAAATCAGTAACAATGTGAAGTGGGAAATATCCATGTATTAGTATTATTAACACTAAAATTTCTAACATAGATGGAATCATGCCTAGGAGGGCAAGGGATGACACATTGATGGATCCAAGAGGAATGGGTTAGACATAAAGATTTGGGCTAGTTTAGAGCCCAATGGGCCAGGTGGGCTTAGTCGACCCAAGTTGCTCCTCACATGGGCCACACCTTGAGATTTCCATTGTCATTTATTTGTATATATAATATTAGTGTAGGTCTCATATATTTTTGTCTTTTATTTTGGACCACATATATTAGGATTTTTAGGCCATAGGCTTAGTGGAATTGTTTTTGGGCTTTAAGGGCCTTGGGTATTTTGGTACCCAATATTGGACTCATTTTATTTCTTTTATTGTTTCCTATTGTTTGTATTTAGTTGACCATTGTATTTAGGCCATTAGAGTAA